TCCTCCTCTCGGCGCTGATGAGCGACTGCAGGTACTCGGAGGATTTGCTCAGGATCACCACTTTGGGCGTCTTGGGGCAGCTGGCGAGCCCGGGCACCTGGTCCCGCAGGGCCAGGAAGCGGGAGCGCAGGTCGTTGCGCCGCTTGCGCTCCAGGTAATTGTGGTTTTTCCTCTTGGCCACGTCCTCGCTGTCAGAGCCGGGGCTGCTGCTGGCTTTCGGCAAGCTGGGCTCAGGCAGCGTGACGGCAGGGGCTGGCTCCGCGGCGCTCGGCGGCTCATCCTCATCCTGCTGGGGTGGCTCCAGCGGGGGACAGGCGTCCGGTGGCGAGCGGGCGGCGTAGTTGTGCTGCTGCTGGGGGACGGAGATGTGATACAGGGGTCCAAGGGGTCAGCGCGCAGCGTGATGGTGACTGGCTTCCTCAGGCTGAGCGATTGTCTCTTCTCCACCGTCACCACGTCAATCTCCTCACCTTCTGCTCAAAATAGCCAGTGCAAAAAAGAAGCTGCCATCAGTTGGGAGCGCCTGGTCAGCCCTCTTCACCCCACCCAGGCTCCCCACAGCCCCTAGATAGTCTCTCCACTACCATCCCATGAAATTTTGCTCATGTACTGCAAAGCCACTCCACGATCTCCAGAAGGGATTGGAGGATTTAAATGCTTTTCCAATACCATTGCACAGGAAGGAGCATTCCTTCCACGTTCATGTGCCCAGTCCCCCAAAATTGGATGGGGCTTTGCTTCTGCACCAGGATCAACTGTGTCCAGGATAAAGGATCATCAGGCAAGAAACATCCAACCCCACTTGCCTGGGGTAGGGACAGGAGGATCAAGATGCTGGGGACCTGGGACAGCCTAACTCCAAAGTTCATCCTGGTCGGGAGCTTTCAAGGCCCATTGGAATTGTAAATGAGGGATGTGGGGGCAGAGCTGCCCTTTGTTCCCCTTGGCTGCAGCTTCCCACTTCGGTGACTTGTTACTTTTCACAAGTGATAAACCCCATTCAGCCCAGGCTCCCCGGGGACAGAGGGGACAGTCCCCCACGGTGCAGAGGGGGAGGGAGAGGTGAAGCGGTCCCTCCAATAGACTCGGTGAACCTCGAAGGCATCTCAAGCCCAGGAATCAGAGAGGGGGGGAGGTTATCAGAGCTGGGAACAGCAAGGCCCAAATAAAGGGTAACTGGACCCAAAGCACTCTGCCTGTTGTCATTGCAGCTCGTACCACCCCAGCAAAGCTCAGCAGCACAAAGCTGCCCCTGGGGACAGCAGGGTGACCTGGCTCCAGATGCACCCGCGATCGCTCTCTCTTTAGGGATGCGCTTCCACCTTTTTTCTTCGGCTTTCAGGCAAAATACCGCCGCTCACTAAAGGTCCTCCGAGATGCTCAAAACCCCACCAGCATCTTGGGCAGAGGCCTGGCCCCCACCCCTCCTGCGACAGGGCCAGCGGTGGCCGCAGGAGCTGTGCTCCAGGGCACTTTCCAGCTTGTGGCCCCCAACCTACACGCCGGACACCCCCCCGCCAGGGTCTGGGGGCTCCGCCCAGCAAGCCCAAGCCATGCTCCTACTGGAGCTACTGGCCGGTGGCCGCAGGAGCTGTGCTCCAGGGCACTTTCCAGCTTGTGGCCCCCAACCTACACGCCGGACACCCCCCCGCCAGGGTCTGGGGGCTCCGCCCAGCAAGCCCAAGCCATGCTCCTACTGGAGCTACTGGCCG